TGGTTGAGGGGGGGGGGGAGGAGGGTTATTGTGAATTGTGCTTTCCTATAAATTCGGTGCGTTGATCGTTAGCGGTCAACAAAGATACACGTCTGTACTCTTGAGTGTCTCGTGCAGCCGAAATTATATTACGATAGTAATTCATTAATATCGGTTTTCGAATCACCCGTGTGGCCGTGTTTTCAACTTACCAATCCTTTTTACTTATTAAAATATATATATATTATATTTATATATTTTACAGGTAATTACCACGGGGACTGGTGATACACTACTGGTAATTATTTAACATAATATAATATACAAATTAATTATTTATTTTATTTAAACATTTTTTTCCAGCAATACTGCAATAGGTGCTAATATTTATTTACTTTCACACATTTAAATTTTATATATTTTTACCACTAAGCCAATACATTTTTGCATATTATTATTTTTTATATATATCCTTATTTTTTTGTACTCTTGTGTTTAAGCACTAAAATGAAAAAAGTAAATCTTCAAAAACTGATTGCCGTTTTGAAAGAAAAGGGATGCACTCCTTGTCAGTGGAACAATGTAAAGTGTGGTGATGATGTCATCATTGAGTCCTGCAAGGCATGTTTTAAACAGAATACATGTTTGACAAATCGAAAAATAATCAGACGAGTAAGTTAACATCACTTAATAAGTAACTTAGTGGGTATTGTATATTTATTTTATTTAATTTTTTGAATACACGCTGGTATTATTTATTATTTTATTATTACAATTATTAGAGAAAGATAGGTAGGTACATGAAGAAGTTAAAGTGAAATATGACAAAGTATATATAGTACTAAATGTGCTTATATAATTAATATTATAAGCACATTGAGCATATTTAAATGCTTCACTGTTGGGTTTCATACAGGTGGGAACTGGGAACTACATTTCGGAAAGCATATCTCAAAATAAATTATATTTGATATTTGCTTTGGTATTTTTACTATTTATACAAATTATAGCTTAATAACTCCAAAATTAAATTACAGATAAAATTAAATATTTTTATGTTAGGTAGGTAGGTAGGTAACTGTTTAAAAGTATAACTAACATAAGTCATAAATCATAATAATAAAAATCAAAGACATTTTCCCAACCATATTTTTTAAAAATATGAATTTGAATATGACATTTTCTTTGTTTTAAGACAATAATTTTTATATATAATAATAATACATTGTGGATATATAATTTTCGTCAATATCACTTGAAACAATAAAAAGTTACAAATTATAATAGTGATGGAGTGTGTCACTTGGGATATCTTTATATAAGTAGCCGGGAAAGTCCTCGCGGTATTTCGTCTAATTTTATATTTTAGTTTCGGCAAATTTTCCATGTTTCGTGTGGGTAAGAGAGTGAATACTGAATAGTAATATAGTATTCTCAATTCTGTACTCTGACGTAGGGACGTCCTCATATTGTATTGGCGAAAATATAAAAGTCGAACTAAGTTACTCTTTTAACGCTTTTATTATTTATTGTGTTATTTATAAGTCAATTGGCACATAAAAACCTAATCAGGTCATCAGGAGTGTATTTAGGCACAGGCCCTATAGGTCCGGGCGGGCGCGGCGAATTTTAACTATTTTTTTTTTACCAAATTACAAAAAAATGTTTCATATTTTTATAAAATCAAACTTATTTAATTTTTGGTACGCTCAAAATTAAACAGCTATCTACTATAATACTATAATCATACACATACGCAACACAATACGTGCACATAGATAACAAAACATACGCGCATTCATTGCGGGTTCGATTTCTCATACCAACTATGAATTCAAATAAAGTAATATAGACAGACGGACAGTATAGTTGATAGTTAGATAATGACGGGGAAATACCCGCTTATCGTTATAGAGCTGCCAGTCTTTTATTCCAATTCTTCTAAAAATAATATTCAATTTTATATAAACTGTAAACTAAACTGCGGCATCTGGCCGTATAGGAAGGACTGGGGGGGGGGGTGAATTGGAAGCGCCTATAGGCAGAAAAACCTTAAATACGCCACTGTACCTAATATAGGTATTTCCAGATATTTTGAGCCCTGTCGTCATAATTTTACACGAGATGAATAATATTCAATGTACCTAATATATTAATTTAGAGCGCGATTTGTATGCACTAAAAAGTATCAAAATATTGATGTATGCAATCAAAACATCTTATAAATATGTAAGAAAATTTTATTTATGAACATCACAAATGTGTACTATTGTCTATTTCAGGGGTCTCCAAACTTTTTTATTGAAAGGCCACAAAAAAAATCAAATGTTCTTAGCGGGCCAAAAGTTTATTAACACATATAATTTTTAATTTTATGTAATATAGGTACCTATATAAATAATATGTTTACTTTATATTTTTGTATAAAATATTGTTTACTTTACAATATACTTAAATAAAAATAAATAGGTATAAAAATACATTTTTGAAATATTTTTTTTATCTATATTTACCTATGCGTCCTATGCGAACCAAGGGCCGGTTAAAACTTGTTCGCGGGCCGTATCCGGCCCGCGGGCCGTAGTTTGGAGACCCCTGGTCTATTTAGTATTGATACCTATTTGAATATTATAAATTAGTAATATACTTTAGCAGGAGCGATTACGATTAAACATAAATATTTACGCTGTAATCGATTAGGTTGTTATCTTATATTTATTTAAATTACTATTCAGTGCCTACAAAATGTATTTTAGATTCTTCCACTTGACCAATTAATATTATATTATTATACCTTTTAAAAAAAATATTTGACTCAATATGCAATACATTTTGAATTACGTATAAATTTTTATTTAATTATATATATACATATATATTTGGTAAGTACCATTAAATTTGCAGAAATATGAAAAAAAAAATTTCGCCATTAATTTCAAAATGTTATATGATTCGTAAAGATTACCTACTGACAAAAAAACAAAAATGTGAAAATTAAAGAATATTCAATTGCACAGAAATCCCACGCTCTGTAATTTGTAAATATATTTACAAATTCCACTACTTTGCTCTTAAAAGGATATTAGTGCACCCTATGTTTTCTTTCTCTGACTCCCGCGCTACACAGACCCAACTAAATCACGCAAAATCGTTTTTTTCTAGTTAAGACTTTAAGATTGCGTCATTTGAACTTTTGCAAAACTTTAATATCTAACGCACGTGAAAAATATATATGTATAAAAAAATTAATCAACTAGTCAAAAGTCACTAATATGTGGCTACTTTAATCATACCATTTATGTCATGACATACTACCTACTCTCATCATATAAACGTATTGTGCTAATTTATATAAATTAAATACAATAGTACTCCATAGGCCATAGCTGCATGCGTTGCCTCCGTATTACAAAAACATAACAGAAAATTATGTAGGACATATCATAATAGGCTTATTGTTGTATTTTAATTTTAAAGCGAGTGATGAGTATTTTAAATTTTAGATTCTGAGCGGAGGGATGAATGTATTGGTTTTACAATGATGTGTGTTTTTAATTTTTTTTTGTGTCTGTCATCACGTTTTGGGACAGTAAAAGTGCTTGGAATCTCTTCAATAGTACCTTTTCTGATAGGAAAGTGAATCTAGTTGGTACCTACTTTGGGGGGTCAAAAGTAAACATTTTCCAGTAGTTTTCAAAAGTACCATGAAAAACAAATGGAAAATTAAGGAAAAAACGGGAATTTTGATTTTGTAAATACATGGAATTTTGACTGAATGTGTTATATGAGCAGTTTCTATACACCTTACCGTTTTCAAAATATTTTGACTTATTTTGAGTTGTTTACAGACATTTCCAATTTCCAATCTTTTTAGTTTTTTTTTCTATATATATCAATGAAATTGTATTTATTGGTTAAAAATTCTTGAAAATTTAATATTAGGCTCCTAATATATTGTTTCAAAGGTAGATGAAAAATATTAAAAATCTGTAGTCACAATTTTTTTTTCCAAGCATTTTAAGTTCGAATTTTAGGCATTTACCCATCGGAGTTGACCTAAAACTACAAAATTACTAAACAGAAATAATGTCTGGTTTGATTTGCTGTATCTAAACATTTTAAGGTTTACCTAGGTATTACAGTGATAAATCAATTTGTATTACTAACTGGCAACTGCTAGAATTTGGAAGTATTATCACGACAATGACATCGCATTTCACAATTCGATAGATGTGTTATTTACTATTTTAAATATTTATTAGATTTAAATTTTAAATTTTTATTTTTATTATGTGTTAATTGTAATTTTTTTAGTATGAACACCTATTTTTGGGTAGTTTGAAGGGTAGATGGTCAAAAAATCTTAGCCTCATAAATCTTTTCATGTCTTATTATCTTTAATCGTGATTGAAACTGAGTAAAATATTATATTAGTACCTACTATAAGTCTATAAAACGACAAAATTGAACTTACAACTTCCAACTTGCAAATTAATGTGCACATTTTCTAGACATAATTCGATAAATAATAAAATGCACTATTCCTAACAAATAGCATAACTTTTGGTAGAACTGTGGTGGTGGCACCATGTCAACTATACCTTATATATTAAGAATAGTTTATATTTTATTTCAGATACTAGTAGACAGGAGGAATAATATATTGGAATTATACAATCAGTTTGAACCAGAAAAAAATACTTTCACTGACAAAGTGAGGGCAATACTGAATAAGCTACCGTTTGAAGTGAAGCGCGTAGACTCTGAAATTGTTATTGAAATTTGCAAGAGGTTGGGATTAAAATGGAATGCTACTAAATGGAAAGTAGAAGCATTAAAAAATCACAGTAAAGTAACCTCAGCATTACGTTATATATTTAAACTGGACAGTAAAAAGGTAAAAACACCAATTGAAAAGGTAATGTTATATGAAAATATTGGGCAGGTGTCTGTTGGTGATGATTTTTTGTCAAGTTCTAGGTTAATGGAGACAAGTATAACAATAAATGAGATGTCTGAACATGAATCTTTATTGTTGGAAAAAACTCGAGGAGTCGATTGTTGATGAATTTATCACTCCTACAAAACGAAATGAAGCAATTGGCATTGTGGAATATGTTAATGATCAACTATTAACACACAATTGCAACAAAGATATTAAAAGAAAAATATCACAGGTGGAAAATTCAATTAGAGATGAAAATACTCCTAAGAAAAAGGTAATGTGTGGTTCCAATGTAGAACAGTTATCTGTTGTTGATGAAACTTTGTACAATTTTAGGTTGATACAGAGAAATGGGGATATTATGGAAGTTGCACCTATCTATTCGTCTAGTGTAGAGAATATGTTGGACACTTCAAATGATACTGTATCGTTGGAACAAAGTCCTAAAGAGTCAAATTTTGTATTTGTGACACCTACTCAAAGAAATTTTACCGCAGGAACTCCTAGAAGAAAATTATTTCATGATAATGTAACAGGAAGTTCATTGTTTGAATGTAATAGTTCAATTGATTCACTTAGAAACACTGGTAAAACGAGAGACAAATTTATTAGTCCGATAAAGAGTCCGTTAAGAGGCCGTTAACTTATGAAAAATAAGCACATTTTCATTGTATATATAATTTCTAAGATTCCTCAAAGAGTGGAAAATTATCAAGAAAGATTGGCCAAGTACACCAGTCGTAGGAACGCGGCTTAATAATAAGAATATAGGCCTAGACTGCAAGTAGGTATTCATTGTAATAACCATAACAGTATAACAAATAATACATTTAGTATTGTATAGGGAACTTAATTTATTTATTTAAAACGGATTCTATTTGAATAATAATAACAATGACAATAATAGATCGTCAGGACTCGGGACCGTCCCTTGCTAGAAAGAATAATTCAATTTAAAAATATAATTAATATTATATATTATATGATATTATAATATACAATAAGCGATGATCGACGGCCGAAAATCGGGGGAAACAATTCAAAAATAGCTAGATAAACCACAAAATGGTCAATACATCAATACATGTATGGGGAATTTGTCAAAATTAAATGCGATCGTTGGCCGCTATTAATAAATATTATATTATTATTATGCCGCCGCCAGCGCCGCCGCAGCGTTGGCATTGAGGTGAGCCTTACCTGGACAACATTCATTCTGCAATTTGGTCTCAACTCTTAACGAGTCAACTACAACGGAGCACTCAAAAGTCGTAAGTAAAATTTTGAATAGTATTAAAACTATTTTATTAATACTCTAGTATAATATGATATATGTAATATTTTACGAATCTTTATACACCGATTAAATTTTAAATAAATATAATGATTGTACCTATTCAATTTTTTAATATGTTTTAATATTTAAAAGAATACAATTTGACGAAATACATTTTTTAAAAAATAAATTATTTCTTTAGTATTCAATAATATTTTTTGTTGCTTCGAGATTTCTTCAATGTATAGGACGTGTTGTATTTTAAATCTGTTTTACATCAAATTACTTTACACAATTTAATTAAATCATTATTAATTTTGGTTTTTGAAATCGTTTAACATTGGTTGGTTTGATTAACAAGTATTGTTATGACACATTGTATTGCTAATAATTTAATTTTTACATCAATAATATTATTACGAAACACAATTTGATTTATTATTATTGATTTAATTCTGTATACAAATATGTAGTATTAAGAGGCCGTTCTGGTAGAAGTGAAAAATATACAACGCTCAAGAGATGGCGTTGTGCGCCGTTGCCGCCGTCGCGGTAGGCCGTAACCACGCCCATCGTCTACGCGACAAAGTTCGCGCGTCGTAATCGCGGGAGCGGTACATCATTATTTCACGGATGGTCGATTAGAACGTTTCGCGTCGCAGTTCCGTAAATGATCGCCGCCCCATGTATGTCTTATGTAGGTAGTAGGTACTAGCATGCGGTACACAAGTCGCGACCTATTTTTTAATTAAAGTTCCTGTTTGCTTAAAAATATTAACCAATAAATAGAGCATACAAATTATTATACACCATAACTCGATTTATTTTTCTAACCCAATTACTTTTTTATATACATAAAAAATAATAGTTTCATTACGATTAAATGGATTTTGTAGTACCTAAATATGTCGCGTATTTTACGTAGTAACTTATTGGTGACCTGGAGTACTTTTCGTACGATTGTTTGATCTCCTATAATTATTATATACGACATACGTATTAGTACAATGTTATAGTTATAAAATATATTGATGTAATTAGGTACCTATATTTAATTAAAACATAATTTAGGAAGTTGATTGTTATTTGCTGTACATATTATAATATCTTTTAAATAAAGACTATAGGTAATTATTCACATTATTTAATTATTGTTGCAATTTGCAATGCAGTATGTATACTGTATAGTATGTACCTATGTACAAAAAACCGACAGTATACACTTAAAATGTTCATCGTTTATAATATAATATATAATTAGTTACGATGATTCTTTCTGGCGCGAAAAAATGATTGAGAAGTTAAAAGTGTAATATTGAACATGATTTTTTTAATTTATATTTTATAGTACCTAATTGGATTTTTACGTAATTACATAAGCATAATATCAAATTTTATTTTCGGTTTTTATACAGAATGCTTACTTCCAGAAATAGTCAATCCCCAAAAAAGGTTTTCCAAAAAATCGATTTTGGTTTTTGGTGTAACTTTAAAACAAATAACCGTAGATACATGAAATTTTCAGTGGTTGTTTATATTTGCATTTTCTATACACGATAACATTTTCAAAATAAAACTTTATTGATATTTATAGAAAAAAAAACTAAAAAAATTGAAAAATGAAAATAACCGTAAACAGCTCAAAAAGAGTCAAAATTGTATGGTGTATAGGAAATGCTAATATAAACATTCAGTGAAATTTTCATGTATCTATAGTTATTCGTTTATGAATAACAACAAAATAAGGAAATCGCTACATGAGAAATCGAGTGAACATCCAATGTTGTAAAAATTTTAATTTCAAACGCTCATAAAAATTTAATTTGACTGTCCGGTAGAGATTTTTTATTGATAAAGGTAGACAAACTTATGAGTAATCTTGTATTACATTTTCAAATCTTAGATTTAAAAAGAAAAATTTTTACGAATTCTTAACTCAAAATAATTTGCTAATTTTCGTGATTTTTCCATATTTTGTCAATTTTTGAACTTTAAGTGCTTATAAAAAAAACTGTGACTAACGATTTTTAATATTTTTCATCTGCCTTTGTAACAATTTAGTAGGAACCTTGTATTAAATTTTCAAGTATTTCTACTCAACAAACAAAGTTTTATTGATATTTTTAGAAAAAAAACTAAAAAAAAATGGAAAATGAAAATGTCCCTAAACAGTTCAAAATAAATCAAAATATTTTGAAAATGTTATCGTGTATAGAAAAGGCAAATATAAACAACCAGTCAAAATTTCATGTTCCTTCAGTCATTTGTTTTAAACTTACACCAAAAACCAAATTCGATATTGTCAAAAACCGATTTTGCGTAAAAATTCCCGTTTTTCTTTAATTTTTATGTTGTTTTTCCCGACGCTTGTGAAAACTATTGGGAATTTTAAATTTTGACCTCCCCAATGCACCAACGATATTCACTTTCCAATCGAACAAGATACTGAAGTCAAAAATCTAAGCATTATTTCGACTACTTATCGTGTACACAGACACAAAAAAAAAAAATAAAAAAAAAAAACACACATCATTGTAAAATCAATACATTCATCGTTTCACTCAGAATCTAAAAATGACAAAATATGGAAAAATCACGAAAATTTGCAAATTATTTCGAGTTAGAAATTCATAAAAATTTTTCTTTTTAAATCTAAGATATGAAAATGTAATACAAGATTCCTTATAAAATATCCTACATTTATCAAAAAAAAAAAATTCTATAAGAAAGTCAAATTAAATTTTTATGAGGGTTTGAAATTCAAACTTTTACAACATTGGATATTCACTCGATTTCTCATGTGGCGATTTCCTTATTTTGTTGTAATTCAAAAACGAATTACTGTAGATACATGAAAATTTCACTGAATGTTTATATTAGCATTTCCTATACACCATACAATTTTGAAAATATTTTGACTCTTTTTGAACCGTTTACGGACATTTTCAGTTTTCAATTTTTTTAGTTTTTTTTTTCTATAAATATTAATAAAGTTTTATCTGTTGGGCCAAAAAGTGTGAAAAATTAATACAAGGCTCCTGATATATTGTTACAATATCAATTGAAAAATATTAAAAATACATAGGCACAATTTTTTTTTATAAGCATTTAAAGACCGCATTTTGACAAAATTTATCAAAATCTCGAAAATTATCAACCATCGTAATTAATAAATTATAAAATGTTCAGTTTTTATAGCTAAGGATTGAAAATTTAAAAAAAAGATTCTCATAAATAGTTCATACTATAGCCAAAAAATCTAAAAAATATATGAGCACAGTTATTTTTTACAGACATTTTAAGTTCAAATTTGGGACGAAATTACATATTAAAAAACCTAGCATACCTCCCAGATAGCAAAATAACAATATAATAATGTGAAAATAACATTACAAATATAATGACTAATATTATTATTTAAACACTAACCCCATATAAAGTAATTAAAAAAATATTTTTTTAATAATATAGTAATATTATTTGGCCAAGTACGAAATATTATTTCACATACTTTTTGTATTGATATTATATTATTATTAATATAATATATTTATATGTTATTATAATGTATTAAATACAATAAAATATTATTATTGTAATATTAAAAATTTAATTAAATTAAAAAATAAGTTTATATTTTTTATAATTGTATAGGTATATAATATTACCTATATATACTATCAATTAGGTATTTGTTTTAATTTTAAAAAACTTAACAAATATTCATTTATGTATAACATATATATTATGCTACAATTATAATATGCATACATATACTATATACATATTATTATAGAAAATGGTACACTATAGCTCCCCACATATATCATAAAAAAATGGAAATATATGTTTAATAAATTTCACTAAATTATATTTGCATATAAAAGTTTTTTATTGCTCAACACACCTCGGGAGACAATATTATTATATTATATATAGTAATACTAATACAATATTATTAATTAATACATTTGATTAATTTATTAAAAATGTTTAAGAAAGTGAAAAATATGTAAAAATAAAATATAACAAAATGTAAATATATAAAGAAGAAAACATTTTATATGTATATTCCACAAATAGTTTTCAAGCATCTTTTTTGTTTCTAAATGCAGCACCAGCTATATAAACTTTAATAGGAGCTTCGTTTTCTGCATCTATAGCATTTTGAAAATGTTTGGTCTTTCTTACAGCTTCTAAAAAATAAAATCAATTGTGGATCTATAGTTCAAAGCTAATTTAATATAATATATATATATATATACATATTATATATAATTTATATTCAAGTATTTAAATATTTTATCAATACATTAATTTATATATTATATATAATATATTTGTGCTTACCAAATATTACTGTACATGTTTTCAAAGAAGAAAATATTTTTTTTTTCTGGCCCACATAGCTATATTCTTTAAGTAACTCATCATCAAATAATTTCCGTAATATTTGGCGTACTGTTGAAGTTAATGTTTTTCTCGTTAATCGTTTAAGACTATTAACCTAAATTAAAAATATTTGATAAGAAGTTTAATTTAATGTGAAATACTTTAAAATTTTAAGAACATACAACACTTGTCTTAAAATTTTTGTCAAAAAGTTTAGTTTCAAATTCATTTAGTTCTTCTTCACTGGAAATAGGAAGTAAAGTATCACAATCTTCTTGATTAGACATGTTTATAATCTGTTCATTATTACTAGTTGCACTATTTTGTAATTTTAAAACCATCTCAGAAATGCTTTCGTCCATATGGTGTTGCTTTTGGGTCAAAGTTTCTAAGTCATACCTTATTTTTAAAACTACGTTTAGGATTCTTTTCACAGTATCTAAGCCCAAAAATTAATATAAGTGAAAAATATTAACAGTTGTATTATGTATAAATTTTGGTTAATCTTACCGCCTAAAGTAGAATCTACTGTTGCAAATGGTTTTGGTGTAATACAAGCTGAATTACTTGGATATTTCTGTTTTGATTGAACTGTTTTTAATTTTGGATCATTATTACCGATCATGGGTGGTGTTTTAAAGCTACCAGCTAAAAAAAAAAAAGTTAACACTTACATTAGATCATTTTTCATTTTTGCAGGTAAATAATATTAATAATAATTATAAAACATATTTTTCTATGTTTTTAATATAATTTAATTTAATTTAATTTAAAAACAAATCCTTATAAAAAACTTATAATATTATAAACATTGCATAAAAGCTAAAATACCTGGTGTAGATACAAAATGCAAGTTATTATCCTTGATGATTTCGGATCTATTGTAAGCATTCTCCATATTAGTAACTTTAAACGGGGATGATGTAGTTTGATAAACTTCAACATTTGGATCTATATTATATTAAAACATTTTTAAAGTGTTGTATTATATATTTCACAAATTTACATAAAAAATGTAAAACAATTTATAATTTGTTTTAATTAATACCTTCTGATTCCCTTAATGATGGTAAAAGATCTTCAGTTTTGTTGTGCATTTCTTTTACTTGACCTAGTGGGGGAAATGTTAAATTAATTAAATGTGGTTTTAACAAAACATTTAATTGTAATAATGAATTTCTCACCAGAAGCAGTATCATACTGAGAAGACTGTAAATTAGAACCAATAGTAGTTGGTTTCTCAGAATAAGAAAAATCAATTATGTTATGTGTGTCCGTACATTGTATTTTTGATCTAATCGTAGCAGGACTGCAACTACTATATTTTGGAAGTTCATCTAATTATATTTCAAAATTTTTGATTATGAAGGAAGAATATTATATTATAAATTTATGATTTATGTTAAAATAATCAATTACCAGCTTCATCAGAAGAACTTAAATCATAAAGTCGTCTTTTAACTCTTGAACTATTATGTTTTGGTAAGATAGATTGTTCGGAACTGATAGTTTTTATAGCAGTATTATACTTATGAAACATATTATTGTCATCTAAAATCAATAATGAATGAAAAAAATATTTAATTAGGATGTATATTTTAACAGCATTATATAAAATTACAGTAGGTGTAAAACAAACAAATTATTGCTCTTTAGTGAAACAACCAAATCTTTTGTGGATAACAGTAAATAGTAGATAGTAGGTAATATTGTAATAAATAAACATAATATAATTATAATTAATATTTACCATAATTAATATTTTTGGATGAATATATTGGTGGACCAGGAATTTTTGAAATTTTTTGAGTTTTTCTTAAAGTGTAACATTCTTCTGCTGTGGATAAATCAGATGTCTTTTCTGCTTTTTTAAGTTTTGTTCTTGCTTCTAGTAGTGTGCCTGTAAAAAAAAAATAATGCTACAACAAAATCAAAGGTAAATTTAACTTAAAAGCAAGTGTAAAAATACGTTATAATCTACATAATATTTTACATTTTATAAATAATAAAAACAGTTGACATAATTACCAATGTTTTTTTTCAACACCCTAGAAGGGTAAAAATTGAAGTCAAAACTATTAGGTATTGTACGACGTTCGACATGTTTTTTAACATTTTTTTTAGGCCAAGCACATGTATTATTTTTTTGTATCCAATGACTGGGAATAGCTTCAACAGCGTTTTCTTCAGTAAAATTTACTATAGTCCACATTTCTAAAACAAAAATATGTTATGATTTAAAATTTTAAAAAGAATTTGATGTATAAAGTATTTTTATTATGTGTAGTAGTCAATATACTTACACATTTTATATACATTTACATTGCATTATATCATATTATATTTTAATAACTTAATTATAAATAAAAAATAATGATTTAATTAAAAAAGTAGTTAGGTATAATTATAAGAAAATTTGCATCAATATTATTACTTAATAATAAATTATTTGTTGTATACAGGAAATTTATATAATTCATTATTGTTTAATTTTGATTACTTATTGGTATTAATTTTAAATACAAGTATGTCTATAATAATAATATAATAATTATATGGTTATTATTGATTGAAGTTTAATAAAAGACAATTTTAAACTATATGTTAATAATATATCTTAAAATTTTTTTCTTTTTAACAATTTCTATAATATAACCTACCTATAGTAAACATTTAATTTTTTTATAAAAATAATAGTTAAAAATATAATGAATATTTGAAAAAATTAAAAAACTAAACTTAATGTATTAAAGGAACTGCAATAAGCTTATCACTGCAACAAAGAATCATAATTTTTTTTTTTACATCTTTAATATCCCAGCATCTTAAGGTGTTTGACAATTGTTTTACAATATATATACCTAGACAAGATGAATTAATAGGTCTAGAATAAAAATCTTCTTGTTTCTCAAAGCGTTTTCCAATTAAGACAACATCACCTGTATCTTTTGAATGTGCAATATTCACAAGTTGTACATGTTCATTTTTTAAAGTACAAAAATATGAATCTCCAATGACATAACTTTTTATTTTATAATTTCCTAATGTCATGGACTTAAATTGTGGATTTATTGTATTTTTTAACAAGGGCCCTTTACTATGCTCTCCAAAAAATAATCCATCAGTTTCTTCTATTTTAGATTTTAAAAATTTGCCTTCATTGTACCTCATTATGACTTGTTCTAATGGCTTGTCGGGTTTTCTAAGCATACTTTTAATCACCTTCATATAATTTTCAAATGGAAATGTGCTACATTTGTCTAATGGACCATATTTATTGTAATCTTCCACTAAATGGAGTAACCCATGAATATTATGTGACATTAAATATTGACCATAGATTTGTTCAAACGTTTGAACAAAATAATCTAATAGTTGTTGAGCATAGTCTATTAATGAAGCATAATCAGGACTTAAAAGAATGATCATTGCAATATTAAGAGACATAAAATTATTAAAACAATTATCTGTTAATACACCTTTCAAAATAACTGGGCCTATATACAACAAAAATGTTCTAAGCTCAGTCGCTTTCCAGCGAAGTATATCTTCTAATCGCCTGGGTTTTCTAGAAAATTCACAAGCAAAACTTGGTTTCAAGTTCAATGATAAATTTGACATTTCTTTAATTTTCCATGAGGGTAACCTCACTGATAGTGGCCCCTTCATCCATAATAAAATCAATTTTTTTGTAACACCAAGACATACCAAGTGCATGTAATCAAGTGAAAAATTATGAACAATATCTAATCCAGGAATTTCAGTAACACAAGAGTTTGTAATTGAGGCTAAGTGATGCCTATTTTGCGATCTTGCCAAATATCCAGTATGTGTTCTCTTGTTTGGTTGCCTATTAGGTTTACTATATGGAAAACATACTCTGTTTGATTTGTATTCACCTTCAATTTCACAACGCGAACAGGAAAAGAAACCATTATGAGATTTAATTCTTAAAATAAACGCTTTAGCAGGAGTATCGCAACAGAATACATCAATTTTGACTTTAAATAATTTATTTTCAATTAAAATCCCATGGGTAACTAAATGTTTTGTTTCATTGACAAAATCTTTTAAGAATTCATTGCTGTCAGAAGGTTTTTCTGTTCCAAAATATAATCCCACTGGAAAAACTATATTTGAAGTTGGTCTCATGTATGCTAATATAGGATAAAATTTATTTGAATTGCTTTTAGCAATAGGTAAGCCATCTATCCCTATAACAACTTTAATCTCGGTTTGTAAAGTATTTTCAGGTGATAAATGACGTAGGATACCAACCTCAAGACCAAAATGGTGGTATTTTCCAGGCTGTACATCTCGAATACTTTGTATTTGAGCTGGTTTAGTATGTAAAAGTGTCCTAGCATCTTTTGGTAAATGTAAAAAACATTTATGTTTTCTTAATAAATGTAATAGACTATTTACAGCAGTATGAGGAATTTTATGTAACAATGCCCATTGAGCAAGTTCTGAATCTATAGAAAAATTGGTCATAAAGTGATTGGATACATTACTAGATGATGTACTATCAGATTCATTATGCAATTGAACTTCATCTATAATATAATTATGATCCTCAAAGTCATGGTATTCCAATTCTAAATTATTATCTTCCATATCAGTAGTTAAAGTATTTAAGAGAGGTGTTACTTCCTGATGAATACTTAAGTCAGGGCAATTATCATTATCTACTACAGAAATTTCGTTAATGGAGTAGGCATCAGAATCATTGGTCGAACCAAAATTGTAAGTATCTAGTTCTTCTCTCATCCTTCTTCTCTGTGTGCGATGACTCGCTGATCTATTATTCATAGTTTTATTAGCTTATAATTCCTTTAAAGAAAAATAAATAATAATAGTATGTATACTATTTATAAGATTTAAATGTAGCAATTTTGTTTTGAAAACATCTTTAATACTTTTAAATAAATACCTATATATGCATTTTTGGATCTTATTAGAATTTGTATTTATATAGCATTTTAATCAAAATATTACATAAAATACTACCTATAGTTAGCGTATAGTTATTACCTATGTATACCATAATGTATACAATGTGTTATAGGTTTAGGTACTATGTTACCTACCTACGGCATAAGATAATAAGGTTATGTGATTATAGGTTTCCAAATTACAAAATATGTAGAACATAGGAAATTTGAGCTCAGCAGAACTTATTGTGTTATTATATCTTTAATATTGGATCGATTTTACCTATTATCGAACTTAAAGGCAAGAACATAATATAAGTTTGAAGGTTGGTTTTTTATGTTATAAAAATATATAGGTAAATAAAATAGGTAGGTAGGTATAACAATTCAAAAATGCTCATACCTATCTCACTTTAAGTTTAAAATCCCGTAAAAATACATAACGTTCTGGTTAATTGGCTTACCTTTAAGTTTGATCATAGGTTAATTCACTATAATATTAAAGCAAACAGCCGACAATTTGTTCTGCTGAACGAAAATTTGCTAAGTTGTACGTTCGTACTTTGTAAGACGGAGAGTGGAGACACATGTGGGGGGACGTCCATTTAAGGAGATTGGACATAGTATATTTTAATGATAATGATTAATAACTAAAATAATATATTATGTAATATTATAGGTACTTACTTAAAAATCGCTGAATATTTTAGGATAATGAAGTATACGAGAAACACTTGAATACTTGATCGAGGCCTCGAGAAGTCGAGAGAGTATAAAATACCGTTAATCGTTATACTCTATAGTGTTCACTATCATAGACATTAGACAAAGAAAATCAGTGTTCACTGTTCACTATGTTAATAAGGTTAACTGCGATCTGTGAACTGCGAAGTGCGAGTTGCGAGACGGCGACTGAAAACGTGAGTGTGGGTCTGTGTGAGTGTGACTTGCGAGCAGACTGTCTGTCTAGGCGGACCATGGGTTTTTCCTATGTATAGTGTGTGTACGTTATTTCATATTAATATATTATCAAATATCAATAGCCAACTTAAAAATCCATAGATTAAATAATTTAGCTAATACATTATTGATATTAAGTAGGTACATCGTTTAATTATTAATCTTAATAAATTTATTGATTTATCGATCTATAATATACCTACCTATTACCTAATAATAATACGCACTTTCGCAGTAGGTAGGTACTGAATAGGTACTGATTATGTTGGCTTCTCGCTCGCACAATACTTTAGTGTTCACAGTTTTACATGGGTAACTTAGAAAAATTATAATATGGGTGATGGATATGGATAGAAGTGTATAGTACTATGAAATAATATGAATATTATATGATATTGTATTATATTTGCAATATGTTTAACGCTGTTAAGCATGTTCATACAGATTATATTAATTATTATATTGTTTGGATTTTGGTTAGGGCCTTCTTTTTAAGTACCTACCTAAATGTCAGATTGTCATCCTTATTTTTTTCGTAATACACACTTTGATAGTTGTACGCAGAAGCTTTTTCGCGATTAATTTAAATTGATATGGAAATTCGAATTGTCCATCATCTGCGTGCCATTTCTGGTAAGATGAGTTGTGCATTTATTGTAATTATAATAATTGCGGGACTAATATGAGGTTAGTGCATTTTGGCCAGGAGCCACCTGCAATGATATGATTCCTGCAGGTTGCTCAAAATAAAATCCAATTGTTTTTTTTATTATTATTAATTAACCCGTTGCAACTTAGGCAATTGGGTGGTTTTTAACTGTGGGGGAGGGTACTGTAAGGTGTAAATTATTTACCTATTATATGTGTGTGTTGTTTTGGCAGATTTTTAAATGGGCACCCGTAGGTATCTGCCATGCCCGGGTGGGGGATGGCGACACACGCCTGAAGAAAAATGACGCCTGCAGCGACCAAGCAGGTTTCGAACTGGCGCCGGTGCGCGTCGCAGCCCGACTACTTGGTCCGCTCGGCCACTCCGTCACCCCAAAATACAATTATTATTTATTATTTATTATATATATATATGTTATTATATAACTAATACACGTATTGTCTTAATAATATATTATAATATTATAAAAATATTAATTATATATTATTATTCCCGTTATGACATAATAATATTATAATATTATTTTCCTTCATTACTTTAATAATAATATAAATATATTGTAATATATATAATACTATATTGTTTTATATATAATATTACATAAATAATGAAATAATAATAATATTATATTATTATCATTACAATTTTGCTATCTGGGCTATTTTAGTTATTTTGTTGTGAGTGTATAATACTATTCGTGGGTACTTGAAACTTCTAAAGTACACTGTATTATATACATATACTTTATTATACACTATAGTCTATAATACTTATTATTTATTGTATAAAAAGTTTTTTTCTATTTTCAAAACTGACTAAGTCTCCGCACACCAGAAGAAAAATGCCACCTGTAGCCGGGTTCGAACCGGCGACGGTGCGCGTCGCAACCGACGCCTTAGTCCGTTCGGCCACGACTCCATCCCCATTAAACGTTTATTTGGCACTTATTTTATTATTTCCAGTGGTTATAAATGAAAATTGCATTAAACACATTGTATGCATAAATCCAATTTTTGACTTACTCTAACTTAGTCAGTTTTGAAAATAGAAAAAAACTTTTTATACAATAAATGTTTAAAAAAAAATACTCTACCCGAATCTGCAAAAAAAACTGGGGTTGCCATTTAAAAAAAAGTAAGTTGTATTGCGCATGCGCGTACCGAGTGAGCTAAAAATTTGAAACTGGTCTGAAAATATGTATTTAAGTGCTCCCTATCGTCTCCCGAAAACCCCATTTCAATACAATGTCACACATCTGAGATATTCAGTGGTACCTCTTAGCGTGAACACACTGTATATAGTATCAGGGTTTGTTATTGATGTATAACGTGTTATAAGTACCTAGTGGATATTGTGATATGATTAATTTGGAATTTATTATAGGTCAATTTTTTTTTAATACCATAGATATGTATATAATATGTCTTAAACCTAGACTGACATAGGTACCTTCTTCGCTCAGAATCGTTTTTCTTATACAATGATATTTTATCATTGAATTCAAATTTAATACCATCCATTATACAGTGACCCACTTGTAACCTACTGTACAGCAGAGCGACATCCACTTACCCACCTTTTTACTATTATATATTATACAATATAGATTGTAGGACATAGGTAATAGGTAATTTAATGCTATATACTATTATCATGTTAAAATATTATGTTTTTTACATATTATATACCTAGAATTTTATTATATTTTTTACAATTTGATGATTTATCATGACGTGCTTCTCATTCTATTATCGAATGTGCTTATTGTATGTATAGATTGTAAATATGATTTTTTTTTTTTAAATTGTGAATGTTTGATGCATTGGATGTATTTCAATGTCATTTTTAATTTGTTTTATCATATTTTGAATTGGGTTCAACCCGTTTATATATTAATATATTATAAATAAATAAATAAATTAATTAATGAATAAATAAATAAATAAATAAATAATCTGTAATATAGGAATGTACCTACTATTATAACTAATTAAAAATAAATACAGTTCGTATTTGACTGCTTTATATAAACAATTGTGTTTCAGTTCATATAATTAGGGGTTTATTGTTTTAATTATTATAAGTCGAATTATGTTGTACCTAGGTACATTGATTACACTGGTCACTTTATTCAACAGATTTCCATGTATTCATAATATGTATCTAAGGTTTTTTTTTTGTTATTCTGAATTAAATTTCATATTTTGTTAGTCAACGTTAAAAAAAAATAATTTTCTCGTTGAATTCTCTACAAGATTAAAAACATAATTATTTAAATTGTAATTTTTTTAAACGATTTATAACAATTTTAGGATGTGAGATTTTTAGTTTGTGTAAAACACGGCGAGCAGAATAATAATAATATACGAAGTATAAAATTCCATATGGGTATTATGAAAACAGTTCTGTCACCAACATAATTGTTTTCGTACCGATTATTTATAAACGGCAAGCGACCCGGTCGCGATAAGAAATCTGGTTTTGAACTATGGTGCGGTATGGCTACAATCGAGCGCGGGGTAGTGGTAGGAACACTATTTTTGAACGCTGCCGCTAGTGTCAGTAGAGCAGCACATGACGGCTGTAAAATCGTGTTTTTCTTACCGAAAACATGGTTTCGTACTTCCAATTTTCCTCAGCTCTCGTTAGTCGTAGAAACATGATTTTTTCACCAAAATAAACGTGAGAAGTTTATCTAGGTTTTGTCGTTCCAGATTTTTGATATCTTTTTTTGTCTATTTTATATGATTTTTTAAAAATTTTGAAAATTTTGAAAATTTCAAATGCAAATATAATCGGTTTGAAAAAAAAATTCGAAAATCTGGAACGACAAAACCTAGATCAACTTCTCACGTTTATTTTGGTGAAAAAATTATGTTTCTACGACTAACGAGAGCTGAGGAAAATGAGAAGTACGAAACCATGTTTTTACGGCCGAATTTTCGTACCAGAACGGCCTCTTAAAACGTTTAAATGATAGACATTTTAATAAAAGCCCTGGGGAGCTTTTACCACGAGGTTCTAAGAATGTGTCTCCTTTAAACATTAAAGGAGAATATTATGAATGTAACTTCAAAGAAGGGGAGTTCATAATTCCAAAAGATGAATGGAATAATATATTTGAAGACGGAAAACTAAATACAAAAAGGTATACATTAAACATAAACTTGTTTCAATTTGCTTAACATATTTACATCTATATAGCT